ATAGATAGATAGATAGAAAGATAACCCACACAGATCACCCCATATATCCTAGACCATATATGTATAAATTTTATTTGTCAATTATCCTAATAAAGCTGGAGGGGAGGAAGTGGGAGAAGGGTGTTGGTGTAAATGGGGAGTAGGGGCAGAGGAGGGAGAAGGCAGGGTACAGTAGAGGGGAACTGATTCTAGTCCCCATTATTTTATAAGCCTTGGCATTGAACATGGATTTTAGCACCATAGGGAGTGGCTAACAGCTTGACCTCCCCACAGGTTAGAAATAGTGTCTGGGAACAGATGTACTATGCACCACAGAACGCACTAGAAAGGGCCTGACTCCCGGAGATCTGCAAGTACGATGCTGTGAAGACACATTTGTTATATTTATAACAGTCTTCCACACCTCTCACCTGAAGGTGTTGAGTGCATTATAGCTAACACAAATGAGCAAACTCCAGAACTTGTGTTATAAACTGGGTGCACTGAGCACACCTTTAACCCCAGCACCCAGGAAGCAGGGCAGGTGGTCTCAGTGAGTTTAACATCTGTGTGTTCTACTCGTGAGCTCCAGGTCAGCCAAGGATATGCAGAGACCCTGTCTCAAAAAAAAGCCAATCAGACAGAAAATGATCTGGACTAAGAGTCAATTTCACCCATATGCATTTCCCCTCACCTGGTCTCTTTGTTAACTTTCACTCAACTTGAGGCATGGGTCCTTATAAAGGAATTGAAGCTTGCAAAAGGCATTTGTGTGATGGCTGCTGGGTTATAAATAAAGTATAAAATAATACTGTCGGGGGACTGAGAAGCATGTTTGGATATAGGGAATCTTGAACATCGGAAGCTTTCTGGCTGAAAAGCGCTAGACTCTCCCACCGGCCTGGGAGATGGGGAGACAGACACCGGGTCAGAGAGGCAGAGGCTGCCCGTGCCAGAGAGATCATCACTGGAGCTAAGTTCTGACCTACACGTTGCTCTTGTGCCTCTGACCACGTCATCCCATTCTTCATAAGAGATCTGAGACAATTATTAGAAAGTTCAAATATCACTCCAAAACCAGAACTCTGCCCTGCTTTCCTTTGCTTTCTCTGCACCCCGAAGAGGCCTAAATCTCCCTTCATGCCGACATCAAACCCGAGACACCCGGCTCCCTAGAATTCTTTTTATTCGGCACGGCTTCTGCAGCGGTCTCCAAGCACCTGTGGGTCTTTAAAGGCAATGTTAAAGGAAGCAAAGACACGTCCTCCAGCACAGACACGGGGCTCAGCAAACGGCGCATAAATCAAAGCCAGAGAGAAGCCTGCTAGCAACCCGGAAATCAAATTGTGTCTGTGAGAAGGACAGTGTGGAAAATAGATTAGAAGGGCTCTGAACAAGGGAGGATAAAGACAGACAGCCCCTGAAAAAAATTAACGGGAGGAAGACAGGGCCTGGAGAAGCAGCCTGAATTCACAAAGAGCCTTGCACTGCCTCAGGATAGACCCGTGTTTCAGCCACTTACACCAATTCCTGCCTGGATAATGCAATGGTCGCCCAGTTATGTCAGCTCCTGCCCAGACACTGCAGTGGCTGTCCATCTCTACGTCTTTCTTTGTGTGGAAGTTATTGCTGAAACTTTCCATTCCATCCATGGTGTCCATGTTCTGAGTTCTAATCTGTTCCTTTTCTCAAAGCCTTATTATATATGCCACCCCTCCCATCCATGCTCTTGCTGCATATTTTTGAGACAGACACTTTGTCATATTGATATCACTCTTCCTTGTCCCTCACCTGAAACTGCTGAGTGTTTTATGTCCAAGGCAAATGATAAACTCAAGAAGCTTTGCCCGGGCTGGCCTTGAGCTCAGTGTGGCAGTGGATGGTCCTGAACTTCTGGTACTCCTGCCTCTACCTGCCAAGTGCTGGCATTATAGGTGTGAGCCACCTACCCCCGGCCTCCAGCCCTGCTCACATCTACAAATTCTGCACTCCAAGTTCAAAATTGGAAAAATGCAAGATGCACAAAAGGTTGTTGGGTGTGGTGTCACACTTGGGAGGGAGAGGCGGGCAGATCTCTGAGTTTGACATTAGCCTGGTCATAGCAAGTTCCAGGTCAGCAGGAGCTGTGCAGTAAAATCCTAGCTTAAAAGGTTTCTGATGCAGGGCACTCGAGAGGCAGAGGCAGGCAAATCTCTGTGAGTTCGAAGCCAGCCTGGTCTACAAGAGCTAGTTCCAGGACAGCTTCCAAAGCCACAGGGAAACCCTGCCTTGAAACCCTCCTTCAAAAAAAATGGTTCTACAAAAGAATTTGGCATACTAAGTGTTTATGATGAATCCCTGGAATGAAGTAATATATAGGATTAAGTTATAAGAACTCCAGAGATTATTTAAAGTGAACATCACACCATTTTATGCAAGAGAAAGGAGTATCCATGGATTTGGGTGTCTATCGGGAGTCTTAGAGTCAGGCATCAAGGAACCTTTTCTCCAACTCGGTTGAGGTGAAGTCTCTATCAATATATTGTCCCCAAACCAACCCTCTAGTCCTCTCAGGGAAACTGCCTTGTATAAGGTGAGAGACATCTTTCAGCTGACTGTGGCCTATGATGTGACTAGCTGAGTGACCTTTGCTCTGTGGGCTCTGCACCCCTTGGGGTGATGTCTGAACAGACTGGGCAGTCCCCAAAGCCACCACAAGGTTCTGAGTCAGAAAGCTGAAACTTTTACTTTTTCTGTCTCTTCTGGATGCTGGCCAGTTGTAAGTATGATTTTTCTGATACTTTGCGCTCCCCTGCTCTTTGTCTAAAGCCCCATCCATCCCTGCCCCGTGACTGCTTGCCACCGCCAGCTGACCTCCACCCCAACTTTACTCAAACGGCTTAGCTTTTTTTTCTCTCTCTCTATTCTCCTCCTCCTCTAGGTTTTGAAGATTTACAGCTTGCCTGCACTGGGATTTTTCATTTAAAATCTAATAAAACTGTCCTCAAGCAGAGAGAGAGGATGTCGTATCTATCACTATATAAACCAATAACTTTATGAGCTTAGTTGATTTTTTTAATTCTCTATTATATTTAGTGTGTGCATCTGTGTATGCTTGCATGCCTGCACACGTCACGGCACACTTGTGGAGTCGGGGAACAACTTTCAGGAGTCAGTAGTGCCCTTCCACCATATGCGTCCTCAGGTCCCCAGGCTTGGTGGCAAGCACCTATACCTGCTGGACCATTCCACCAGCTCTGGGAGATTAACGCTATTTCAAAACCCCATTTGGCTTAGTGGCAAAAACTTAACCTAAGCCCATTTCAACTTGTATTGCCATCCTCCTCCAGGGGACCTTGGCTGGCTCTTTCCCAACTTCCCATAATAATCACCCTCTTCTTCCTTTTCCCATGGGCTCTACTAGCCCTACTCCTGCCCCAAATCTTAGTTTGGCCTCAGGATGGAAGCCTTGTTCTGAATCACCTGGCTCCTACCACAGACAACCCCCCACACCCAACCCTTGGCATTCTGTCTGACACTCTGCACACACATCCTGGTCCTGTTGCCACCTACTTCTGGGTTGCTCACACCACACCCCTAAGGTAAGGGAGATCATTCCAAAACTTATAGGCCAGCGCTACAATTTGTCTGGCCCAACGAGGCAAGGTTAACCTATTATGTTTGCTTCCATCCCTAACGGACAAGCTTTAGAAACTCAGAAGCCAAGAATTGCAACCCTCTAAACTCCTAGATTCTACAGAATCTTGGGTTTCTTCAAGGAAACAAAGAATAACCCAGCTTCCCAGATACAGAAAAAGTTTTAAAAAAATGGAGAGATGGAGGGTGGTAGAGGAATCTTAAAAGATACTTCAAAATATTGTCTACTATATTATGTTTTTTGTCCAGTTACAAAGCTGAGAGTGATGGCTTCGCTCATGTTAAGCTATCATGTTTCATTAATAGTCTCTGTGTGTGACTTTTCCTAGGGAGACATGAACAAGACATGCACAGACCAAAGAAACAATTGTACCCTAGGCTAGCCTAGGGAACCTGTAAGTCTATTGGGGTTCCCTACAGAAGTAGGGGTGAGGGGCTACTTGGAGGAGCGTGGATAGCCCAGAGGCAGCTGCATGGATTAAAATGCCTCACCAGCACAGGTGAAAACTCACAGAAGCCTGCCTTCCTGCAGCTCCTTGAACGTCTTGCAGGGAGATCAGCTTATAGAATAGTCTATTTTGTCCAACAACGGTTACTACTAATAAAAACGTGGAGAGGGCCTTGTGGATCTTATTAGTTTCAGGAACTTCCTAACACTTGTAAATTTTGTTTACTTTTTGAGACTTAGTGGATGCATCTTTGTATACTGTTATCCTTGCAGAACCATGTGATAAAGGGTACAGCCTCCTGGGAATGGCACCTCCCTCTAGAAACAACACAATCCTAAGAGCTAAGAGTATTTATTCTGCATCTCCCACTATTATCCACATTTGCAAGAACTACTAAAAAGCAAGGAGGGTAGTCTCCTTCTGTTTAAAACCTTCCACGGTAGGATGTGTCTCTCATCTAGCCACTGGGATCCTAAGAAGGAGTCCCGGCTTTCCCTGGGTGAATGTGAAAAGCCCAAGTTATAAATATGAGTCTCCCACGTCTGCATGGGAAGAAAATGCAAATCATTCAACGTTAAGGTAGGCTAAATAGTCTTTGTGATCCAAGATCACCCACAAGGCGTGGGGGTGTTTCCTGTGGGAGGCGCAAGCCTAGCAATGTGTAACACAGCTCCTGCCACTCATCACCTGCTCGTTTCACAACATCCGACACATTCCTGGTGTCATTACAGAAAGCCAACCCAGTTCTCCCCTCCCTTAAACGTTTTCACAGCCTGACTAAGCCAAACAAACCGCTGGAACTGGCCTGAGTTTCAAGCCAGTGACCAACTCCGGAGGGCAGGACCTGCCCCCTCCCTCGGGTTGGGGGTGGGACTCCAGGGGGCGGGCTCCAGGAAAGGAACACAGGGGGCAGGACTTTGGGGGCGTGGCCCCGGGGCCAAGACACTGAGTGACCAGGTCCGAAAGCTAAAACCCCGAGGCCTAGGCCACTTGCACTGTCGACACCGCTGTTTCTTGACTGCAATGGCCTTGGTTGTCGGCCGACGGGCCTTTGGAGTGCAGGGGACCTGCTGGCTTTGGCGCAGCCGGTGGGCCCCTCTCTCTGCTGGTTTCTGCAGCCCGGGGTCAGCAGTGACCGCTCGGCCGGAGTCAGAGGCCCGGCCCACTAGCATGCGACAACAGGACGGAATCAGGTCAGCCTGCCGGCAGTGCCAGGGCTCTCTCCCTGGAGTTGGGCACCAGGACTCGGGAAGAACAGGCCTCACCGCCACTAGCCCTGAGTTATCAGTCACTGCTTGTCTTTTAGGTTTCATCTCGAAAAGATGAAATACTTGGTGGAGGAATCGTTGCATACTGAATTAACGGGTGTCCCTTCCCTGTGCACGCTAGTACGATGCACCTGTGAGGGTTGTAGGGGAAACTCAGGGCTACGGTGCCCAGTCGTCCGGTCATTTCTGAACATTTCTGCCGGTGTGGGCAGCACCCCACCCACAGTTGCTATGGCCTCCAAGAAAACCCATCACAAAAGATCCAAACTTCTGCAGGCTCCAGGGTTAGCGAATGCTGAAGTGCAGGGTGGGGGTAGGTCATTAAGTGGGGTAAAGGGCACAACACTATGCTCTCTGCCCTTTTATGCAACAAACTTAAAAGCCTCAAGGAGAAATCCGTGCACAACCTGGACCCTGGAGTGACGAAGACCCTTTCAGGCATGACCGTTTGCCTAGCCAGGGCAAGGCTAGAAAAGGAGATAGGTTTCCATGTTCAAGAGTTACAGATGATTGTTATATTCTCCAACTCCGGTAAATAGCCCTTCTTAATCCTAGAAGACCTCGTCAACCTTTTTAATCCTCACCCAAACTCTTCGGTGTTCTCCCAAAAGGATGGAAAGGCAGTCTCCGGCACCCACATCTCCCCTTTATCTCCTACACCTCTCTACCCTTACCGCCTTAAAGAGGCTTAGCACACAGGTCTGCAGATGCTGGTGTGGGGTGCCCATATCTGTCTGTCCCCTACCTCCCTACAGGTGGACACCATAGAGGCTAGGCACTCCCAAAGAAAGCCAGAGGCGGGCTCTGAAGTGTAGGGCCCACATAGGGGCCTTTCTTTCCAATTTTAAGGAACAGCTCTGCTTCTGAAAAATCCGATCATAACCTGGGCATGGTATCAAAGGCTTGTAATCCCACCATTGGGGAGGATGAAGCAGGATGATCCTGAATTCAAACCCTTCCAGAACCTCATAGCAAGTTCAAGGCCAGCCTGGGCTACATAGTAAGACCAATCACCTCTTCCCCCCAAAGCAAAGTCTGGTCATATCTGATCAAAAATTCTGGCAAAAGATAGGAGACTGAATCCTTCAGAATTAAACATGAATGGGCAATTGGAAGGGGGGATGATGAGACCAATTGATTGTAAATCATAGGAATCATATACTAAGACTCTCCCTGAGTCAAGCATTAAAGCAGCACTACGTTAAGCACTAAGCAGATGACTTGTGCAACTCAGTCACTTCAGTGGTCCCATTTCAAAGCTGTGCCTCAGAGCAATAACACTGTCATACCATGAGGGCCAGCTACAAAATGAGTGCTGTGTCAGTCACGGTGCATTGTTTCTAAATGGCACAATGACCTACAAGGTGGAAATCACCCCTCTTCACACACAGAGTCAAGTGCAGGGATGGCTGTCAGGAGGTAGGTGAGCCAAGAGCCTGAAAGAGCTCCCCTCTGCCTCCCAAGTTGTTTCCACTCCTGTGCCATCATGGTAGAGTGGGCCACTCCAGTCCACTACATTCAGTAGAATTAGCCATGAAAAAAAAAAGTCATTTTACAATGATGATCTTCAGATAGCTCAATGGAGCGTTTATAGGGACCAGATTTTACCTGTACACTTGTCACCCTGGGAGAAACCTCATCAGTAAGAAGTTTCTCCTTGGGGGGCGGGGATAGCATGCAGCTGAAGCTCTCAGCTTAAGGCCTTCCACACTTGGAACTAAAACAACCATCGAGAGGGCTGAAACTGGTGAGAAGCCTAGGAGTTTTGATATCCTGTGAAATAAGGGAGAGCTGCCCAGCAATATAAAATGACTTTCAGGCACCAGCTTGGGTGACTGAGCAGCAGCCCTGAGAGGGGTGAGTTAGGAGAGGAAAATACCCACTGTACACCTCGGTGGAGCAACCCAGTGAACATACAGATCCAGGGCTCTGGAGAGAGGCTGGACCGGGGCGAATGACTGGGAGATGTCAGCATGGAGGGAGCCGTGATTATGTCATGGCCACCAGCAAAGCTGCCTGGCCAAGGTGCGTGGAACAAAGAGGGCAAGGGATGGAGGGGAGTGTCTCCTGCCAGGACCCAGGAGCCCCCGTAAAAGAAGGCAAGGAGAGACTAGAGAAGAGTGAACTCAACCCCAGAGAAGACTGTTTCCAAAAGGGGAGAGGCGGCCCCGTATCTGTCCTGACAATCAGGAGATGAGCACTGAGAAGGGCATCAGCGGACTGCTGGGAAAAGGAGTCTGCACACGGGGCTGCAAGTGAGAGCTGTCTGGCGGTGTGTCTGGGAGGATCCATGGGACTCACACGAAACAAACACCACCAGACAGCAAGCTTCCGTTTGGGCTGGAACCTTTCTGTGCAACTTTGCTCGAGGCCTTAGAATTTCATGTAAGCTTGGGTGGCAGCGTTTGTGTGTGTGCATGTACCGTCACAGGCGCGTGTTCATGTGTGTGCAGTTGCATGTGTGCGCAGAAGCCAGAAGACCAACTTGAGTGTCCTTCCTCCCTTGCTGTCCACCTTTTCTTTTGAAACGGTTTCCAAAGTCTGTCTCCAGCTCCCCGGCATTAGGAATCAAAGTACATGTCAAATGACCCACAGGGGCGGGGGTATTTCTAGAAACGGAACTCGGGTTCTCAGGCTTGCAAAGCAAGAACTTGAGTAAGTCATCTCCCCAGGTGGGGTGACAGTGTTTTACGTGTGCTGCCATGAGCACAGTGATGATTCTACTGACAGGTTACAAGCAGCTTCCACGGCTTCCACAGACAAAGGTGTCTAAGTATCAGCGCATCAGATGCATGTAGCTCCTATACTTAGGAGAGAGGACGTTCGTGAAAAGCAAAACAACCCCACAGCTATCTGGAAGCTGCAGCAAAACTGAAATGGTACCCCAAAAGGAATGATTATTCTTATTGTGCTGAAATAAATTCAGTCGTCAAAGTTGTTTTTTAACTCTCCTAAATGTTATTTATGGAGCATCCAATTGACCATGTCCCAATAAAATACCATATTCAGAAAAGAATGAAGAAGGCTTAGAGCGTGTGTGGGTGGAGACTGATAGGAAATATAAAGCGTGCAATGAGAATCTGGTTTGGTTCACTGCCCGTTTCTTAGGACAACAACAAAATAAGACACTCATGTGTAAGGCAGTAAGATGACAATACAGGTTGTTTTATTCCGAATGTGGGCGATTTTAAAATAGCAAAGAGGCCCTTTGGGTGCGGGCTCTTTGCAAGATGCTACGTCTGTTGTATGGATTTGCCCGTCTGCTCTTTGTATAGCATTTGGTCTCAGACTGTACAAATTATCCTGCAGTCTTACCCTGCTGGAAACCCTTACAAATGCCAACCTTTTCTTTGGGGTGGGTGGGCGGAGATGGGGAGGGGGCACTTTCGTCCTTGGCTCCTATCTTAACCTCATTCTAAAGAAGCCACCTGGTAGAATCTGTTTGTGGATTCACCTAGCCCTGACACTGTCACCTGAAACTCATATCCTCTGTGGGCAGAGATGATTTGGGCACTGTTGTGACTCACCCTTGCTGTGGAGGTGGCAGTCATGTATCTGACAGTACATGCGGGGAGAGGGAAAAAAAGAGCAAAAACAAATCAAGGAAGCAGAGAGAAAAGGCTAGCCTACCTTTCGGGTCATCTTTTTTCCTTGTTTTGACTCAGCTGTCATTCTGGAGTGCTGACAGACCCTCTAAATTGGCACCAAGCCCTGGCAGTTCTCTATTCTTGGCTTTCAAAATTGCTCCTAAATTAGAAAGGAATTGCAGGGGTCCTTGCTTGTTTTGACTGGTTCATGACCCGGGGGACTATCAAATGCTTTTCGCAGGAACATTGTCTTAAGCAATCCCAAGAAGAGGAACGCGCTGTCACTGGCCATGCTGAAATCTCTCCGAAGTGACCTTCTTCATGAAGCCGAAAGCAAAGACCTGAAAGTCATTATAATCGCAGGTATTCCTCTGAGGCCTGTTGTTAGTGGCCCATGGTGCCCACGTGAGGTTCCTCAAAATGTGTGTGAGCTGGGACTCCCTCTCCTCACCTCACTGGAGAATCGCCCTGACCCCCTTTGAAGAACTGAAACCTTCTGTGGTCCTTGTTAGCTGTGGGGACTGTAGCAAGGCCTTTGCTTAGTGAAATCATGGCTTCTCCTTGTCATCAAAATCTGGAGGCTGAGGACGCTGCTCCACTGGTAAAGCCCTTAGCATTGCAAGTGCCAAGCCCACATAAAAAAGCTGGACTTGGTATTGCAAGCCTATAATCCCAGACGGGGTGCAGCTAGCAGGTGGGCTGATGTCTCCTCTGTTTGCTAAATCTTGCTCATATCTAAATCTGTAGTGTCATCTTTAATGGTGCCAAAAAGTATGCCAGATTTTGTCCATTTCTTTCCTTCCTTTTTCCAATAGGATTTTCTTCTAATGTGTATGGATGTTTGCCTGCATGTGTGTGTATGAACCACTTGCATGCCTGGTGCTGCAGAGGCAGAGGGTATCAGGTCCCCTGGAACCAGCATGATAAACGGTTGTGAGCTGCCATGTGGGTGCTGAGATTCAAATCCAAGTCCTCTGGAAGAACAGCCAGTGATCTTAACTGCTGAGCCATTTCTCTAGCCCCTCTAGTAGAAATTTCTATAGAATTATAACTTTGGAGTCAGAGAGGTGGCCCAGAGTTAAAAGCAATTACTGCTCTTGCAGTAGACCTGAGTTTGGTTCCCAGCGTTCATGTTGGGTGGCTCATAGTCACCCCATAACTCCAGCTCCAGGAGACCCAATGCCTCTGGCCTCCAAAGGTACCTGCAAATGCACACACCACACCCACACACAGGCACATAATTAAAAATAAATTCTTGAAAAGATAAAATCACCACTTCATACATAGTGCGTGGCATAATAAAAAAAATCACATTATCACCATCACGCATGCCCAGAAAAATACAACAGACACTGTTTTCTGATGCTTTGTTTGGTTAAGCATTAGTGTTTGCTGAGATACTCTGAGCTACCTTTTTAGGAATGGCCAAAAAAGAATTTTCAACTGTTTCCTATGGTGAAGGAAAAGAAGCTTGAATTAGCAACTTGCAGCAGGCATATGAGGCGTAGCCTGGATGCAGCAGAAAGGCCGCTAATGTCTTAATGACACCACTTTCTCACTTGTAAAAACAGGCTAACATTGCCTGTCACAAGGGAGATGGCAGGAAATGTCCTCAGCTTATCAGTGGAGTGACACTTTGTTGTTAAGGATAATGATGGCAGCCACATCCTCAGCTCCTCTCTGTAAAATCAAGAGGGGAGCCAGGTGGCTCCCATGTTTCTGTTCACACTCTGACCCACGCTGGATGATGGGGGCATTGCTTACGGCATGACAGATTTCAAAGGATCTGCACAAGTCGATAAACTTAGGCCAGACTGAGTACAACAATACAGTCATCAGACCAGACAGAGCTTCATAAAAGCACTGATCCCAGAGCCTTCCTGTGTCGCTGCATTTACCATTTGCAACCTCTCATTGTTGGCTTTTTATTTTTTTTCTTCTTTTCTCAACTGGAACCGCTCACAGCTGAGGGCCCTGTGTTTTCTTCCGGGCATGATTTGAAGGAGCTGACAGATGCGAAAGGCCGTGATTATCACACTGAAGTATTCCAGACCTGTGCTGAGGTAAGCCAACATGACAGCCAGCATTGTAAGCACGAGCACCATTGTTGTATTAAATACTGGGGTAGCCTTCGGGTTTCAGATAAGAGTCTATCTGTGGGGTCTGCTCTGGAGAATGGCTGTCAGAAGTTCTGCAGTTATTGATGAGTTCTTTATCCAAGCAATTATTTGGTTTGCACCAGCAGTTCTCAACCTGTGGGTTGTGAACCCTTTGAGGTTAAAAGACTCTTTCACAGGGGTCACATATAGATATCCTGTATATCAGACATGGACATTGAGACTCATAACAGTAGCAAAATTGCAGTTATGAAGTAGCAACAAAAATAATTTTGTGGTTGGGGTCTCCACAACACAAGGGACTGTATTGAAGGGTTGCAGCACGAGGAAGGTTGAGGACCACTGGTTAGACTTCTCAGACTTCTAAGAAGTGACTATGGGGCCTAGAGGGATGGCTCAGTGGTGAGAGCACTTGCTGTGCAATCGTAAGAGCCTACGTTAGGATTCCCAGCATCAATGTGAAAAACTGGTCATGGTCACACACACCTGCCAATAGAGGAGACCCATGAAGGTTTGCTGCTGCCAGAGTAGCCATAAACCAGTGGGCTCCGGGTTCAGTGAGAGTGTCGGGCTTAAGGGAGTGGGACAGACTGATGGAGCAGGAAAACCTCCTCTGACCTTTATGCACGCACGTACGCGCATGCAGACAGACAGACAGACAGAGAGACTAAAACAAAATTGTCAGTGGAAAAGAAAACATTCATATATAGAAATAACTATAATGCTTCTAAATTCTTAGCCAATTCTTCTAAGTATCACCTCCAAAGAAGAAAATTAACCTCATCAATTTTATTTTCTGTATGTAGATGTCTGACGCTGACATCAAGTGTCTTCCTCAGTTGCTTGTGTTTTGAGATTGGTCTTTCATTGAAGCTAAAGCAAGAGCTCCTAACTGCTGAGCTATCTCTCCAGCCCTACCCCAGTTGCTTTTGAGGGAATGTGCCAATGGACTAAGGACCTCCCACAAGACCACACTCCCACTGGCTCAGTCATCTTCTGATGACAACACCCTGAGAGAAATCTTTAAAGTATGGACTTTTGGAGAACATCCACCCGAGCCATAGTAACCATCTACTTTTAAAATTGTTTAATTTATTATTGTTGTTATCGTTATCATCATCATCATCAGTGTGTGTGTGTGTGTGTGTGTGTGTGTGTATGTGTGTTACGGGTGATTGAACCAAGGACAGCACACTTGTGAGGCAAGCACTCACGGAGTGAGTTAGCTCCCCCTCCTAGCCATTATAACCTTCCAGGACCACCATCACATTACAGTTTGTACCTGACTCTAGTGCCTGGATATATAATTGGTTATTTTAAGGGGAAAATGCTGACAAATATCAAATGTTTATGAATATAAAAGACAAGTTTCCCAGGCAAAACTCTTCAAATCTGTGAAGGTCGTTTTCTTTCTATTGCTGCCTTGGGGAAAAGCCCAGATGTAGTTCCTGTCTCCCCTCCCAACTTGCCAAGGTTCAAAGAGCAATAATTTAGAAATCGAAGTTTCCATGGCAACACAATCTGTTTAGAGTGTCATGAAAAAAATAAGCTTCAAATGTAAGTCAGAGCTCTGGCCCTTTATGGTGGTAGGGGTCACACGAACATGGCTTTCTCTCCTCTCTGTGCCAAAGGCTCAGTCTCAGGAATTTTGCTTATTTTTATGACAGTAGGGTGTCCTCCCTCCCTGTTTTAATGGAATTGAGAGAGTATGCTATACCGCATGGTAATTTGAGAAGTAATTACTAAGGAAATTACCTTCAAGTCCCCTTCCCACCTTAATTTTCCCAGGAAGCACCAAATACCAATTTCAGACTTTTAACACAAGGGCTGCCCAGGGGTACAGAGAACTGACAGTTTGTGAAGGGTTTAGCTTGCTCCCCAGGAACAAACCCCACAGTTCTCCATGTGGTGGGCAGGGGAGGCAGGAAGCAGGAGGAGGCCAATGGCCTCAGACTTCACTGCCACCAACTTCCCATCATGCTCTGGCCTTAAGTGAATGACTCCCCACCCACCCAGCTTCATGTCCTTGTTGCTAAGTAGGTCTGTTTGCTCATGGGCTTCTCCAAAACCAAACTCTACAAGTCTGCTTCGCTGTGGAGACGTATTGTAAGTTGATGGTTTTGCGTTTTCTGCCTAGACACTGATGAACTAGTGCATGAGAAACGTGCTCTGTGGGGTCAGTCATGTAACATGGCAGGTACACAGCTCTTCACACTTCATGGAAATGAAATGGGTGTATTTGTCCTACAGGTCATGATGCTGATACGGAACCACCCGGTCCCCATCATTGCCATGGTCAATGGCTTGGCCACAGCTGCCGGCTGCCAGCTTGTTGCCAGCTGTGACATTGCCGTGGCAAGTGACAAGTCCTCTTTTGCCACCCCTGGGGTCAACGTTGGGCTTTTCTGCTCCACCCCTGCAGTTGCCCTGGGGAGGGCAGTGCCCAGAAAGGTAACTGAACTGGCTGTCAGTACTCATAGTTTGCAGAATTAGCTTAGGAAAAGTACCTATAAGGGAGTGGGGAGTTCAATCCCCAGAGTCCACATAAAACAGCCAGGTGCAGTGGTGTACACTTGCAATCCTGGCACTGGGAAGGCAGGCACGGGTGGATCCCTGGAGCTTGCTGACTACCGGGTGAGCTCCCGGCCAGGGAGAGACCTTGTCCTCTCTACACAAACACCACCAGGTGTATTGTACTTGAGAAACACCGCCAGAAGTTAGCCTTGGCTTTTACACACACACACACACACACACACACACACAGAGGCACGCACGCGCACACACACACACACCATACACACACACCACACACACCACACACGCACACACACCATACACACACACTCACTCACACACACACATGCACGCACGTGCACACATACCACACACATGCACGCCACACACACCATACACACACAGCACACAAACCACACACACACTCACTCACACACACACAAACATGCACGCACGCACACACCACACACATGCACACCACACACGCACACACACACCACACACACACCACACACACCACACACACTCACACACACGCACACACACGCACACACACACCACACACACACCACACACACACACTCACACACACACGCACACACCACACACACCACACACACTCACACACACGCACACACACGCACACACCACACACCACACACACTCACACACGCACACACTCACACACACACTCACACACACTCACACACACGCACACACCACACACATGCACACCACACACACACACTCACACACACACACACGCACACACGCACACACAGTATCTTCTATCTTCTATATCGGACATTCTGCCCAAAGGCCTCTAGTGTTCCTTCCGTGCTGGGGAAAGAAGAGCTCACTGCCTGTTCCTCTGCAGCATCAAACACAAAGCATCAGTGTGTGAACTTACCACGTTTCAATCTTACAAGTCCTCAGTATGACTATTTAGGTTTTTCATTTTCAGGAAAACATAGCCTTTGTGTAATCTTATTTGAAATGCAATTGAAACCATTTTGTTACACTAAAGTCTGCCCACGGGACAGTAAGCAGCTTGCTGGCACAGTGCCAGTGTCCAGGGGCTGTATCTCTGGCTAATGACCTCTTGACAACCTTCCTCAGTCCAGAAACGATTTAAAGGTGCTGATTTACGGTGTTGAGTTCACAACGGTTAGACAAGGACTGTCCTGTCCATGCTATGTGAATCCGCCCAGGGAGCAGCTGTATGTCAGAGCTGTCTTGTCATTACAAATGACTGTCAAGGCCATTTTCCTTGTAAAGCTTTCTTCCTTCCGCAGCCTCACAGAATAGCATTTAGTGAACATCCCTGAAGTGGAAAACAACAGTGTCTGTTCTAGGAAAAAGTCATTCTGTTCTCAGTGGGAAATCTGGAAAAGGAGGGGCAAAACCATATATGCAGCAAGCAAAGAAGTGAACTGCTTCCTAGAATGGATTATCTGTTTTGAAACAACTACAAAAATTAACAGCGTCTCACATGCCTGAGGCACAAAAGAAATGAGACCCAAAGGGAATCTAGCAGTAGTGGTAAGCCGTTCCGGGGGGGACTATTTTTTCTTCCATAGAACCTGTTACTTCTTGCAGGAACATGTGCCTGTAGGGAGATTCTGTGGTTAATCCAAGGCAACGTGCTGACAACAGCTACCTGCTGCAATGGTTTGCTCAAATGTCTTCCAAAAGGGGCTGTTTGTGCTTATTCTAAGATAGACATTTGCCTTAACTGCATCCATATTTATTTAGCGACTATTTCTTAGGTCATTGCTTTTTTCCCAGACGTTAAAATAAGATGTATTGCAAGTCTCTGGTCTGACTCACAGACTGAGTCAGGCGTTGGTGGCTCATGCCTTTAATCCCAACATTCAGGAGGCAGAGGCAGGCGGATCTCTGTGTGTTCGAGGCCAGTCTGGTTACAGAGCAAGTTCCAGAACAACCTCCAAACCAATACAGAGAAACCCTGTCTTGAAAAACAAAACAAAATTCAGACTCATAGACTGTCTTGTAACTGCAAATAAAACAATGAAGCCTTTCATAGCAAGAAGTTGCTATACTGGTTTAGTCTCTTCTAACATGTGACTTTCTGAAAGGTTCTATGGTCAAGGCATTTAAAACCTTTAAATCAGTCCTATTGTCAGGAAAACCTTCTAAATCAGGACTTATCAAAATTCCTAGAAACTCCATACTGGATCATGTTTATCAAACTTTATATGTGTTTTTTTAACAGAGAGGGGAAATGTAGCCAAAATATCCCTTAAGTTCCATGGAAGCTGAATTCTCGGAACAATATTGCACAATGTCCAGCGTGACAGATGAGGGGGCAGGGACATTGTGAGAACTAGGATCGCTTTTTCATCCCAAAGATATTTTTGTCTGGCCTGGAGCTGGGGAGAAGGCTCAGTTAGCAAGTGTCTGCTACTCAGGCTTGAGGACCTGAGTTAGATCCCAGAACCCATGGATCAAAGCCAGGTCTGGTGGTATACACTTGGAGTCCCAGAACTGGGGAGGCAGAAACAGGAGGTGCCCTGGGGCTCGCTGGCCAGCCAGTCCAAGCAGCAAGCAACTTCCCCCTCCTCCCAGGGCTCTGTTTCAAAACACAAGGTAAACAACTCCTGAGTAACAACACCGAAGGTTGACTTCTGACCTCTGAACCCACATGCACCCACAAATGAATATACACGCATGCCACAAATGCATATACACACATGCCACAAATGCATGCAGGATCATGTCCTACTCAGATCTCTGGTCTCTCTTCATGTTCTGACCCAAGAAGAAGACTGAACACCCACCCATGCATGTGCTGGTGATAGGTGACTGTCCCTGTGTTTATCCAGAGAAACAAACTGGTGCCTTTGCAAACTGTCCTGGACAGGCTCTGCCCTTTCCGCAGAGTTTAGAACAGCATGTGATGGACTCTAGTTCCCTCTGCTGGACACTCCTGGAAACTGCTCCACCGTGTTGAAAAACAATGAAGTTTGCTGGGCAAAAGTCATACAGTTGAGCTTGCTATGCCAGGACATGAATTATTCACCTTATTTTTAAAGTATTTCTCTTTTGAATGAATTAAATAATGCATCTTCATTGTGCCATATAAATGCCCTGCCCATCCCAGTCGCTCCCTTCTGCAGCTAGAACTGGCCACACACATTCAGAGCCAGTGCCTCCGGCAGTGGGTATCCCAGGAGAGCTGGAGAAAATACGAGTCCCTTTCCCAACACCAGTCCCTTTGCCACAGTAGAATCCCTGCTTCCATTTCCCTACCCACTTGACTGTGTGTCTGCACACTTGTTTCCTGCCCATCTAACCCAGAGTGGGATTTCAAAGCCAGAAAGAGAGTTGCACCCTCACTCAGACCAGAGCCCCCAGAAACTCCACCTGACACATACTGGTTAGCAGCGATTCATGTGCCCAACATAATGTAGGAAATACAATTTGAAAGCACCTAAGCATCTTAGTGGCTTTTCTCAGGTTCGCCGTGAGAGGAGGCCAGTGATCTAGTGTGATCTAGTGTGATCTCGTGTGTCTGTTGTGCATACCTGGTGGTGACTTTTCTCAGGTTGGCCAGTGATCTAGTGTGATCTCGTGTGTCTGCTGTGCACACCTGGTGGGCTTTGCAGCGTATCCTCCCCTCCACCACCTCACCTCTCTTCCTCCACCTGCAGCCCGTAGTCTCTGGGAGACAGAGACCATCATTATAGCCTGAATGTGTTATCCCCCAAGTTCCTATGGTGAAATGCAATCACCACCTTCAGAGGTGGGGCCTGGGGAAGCAATCCTGAGGCCAAGGGTAGAGCCTCGTGCTGGAAAGAACTGCTGGTTGCTGGCTCCCCCCGTTTTCTTCTTTGTAAGGACACGGTGATATTTCAGTCTCTGGACCTGGAAGCAGGTTCTCACTGGACACCAATTCCGAGGATGCCTGGAAGTTAGGTTTCCCAACCTCCAGCATGCAAGATGTTCTGTTCCTTCTAAACCACACAGTTTATGGCATTTTGTTCCGGAAGTCTGGATAGACATGGGACCCACCCAAAAGATAAGCAGAGAACCCCAGAATTCTGCAGCACACAGTCCTCTCATATGTGGGACGATTCTACTTTTATTGACCTGTACAGGAGCTGTGACGCCTATAAGCCCGCCATGCTAGGCTCTGTATCTGGTCTGTGAAGATGCTTATGGCCCTTCATGTCCCCATAACGTGTTCTTGTGGGAAGTGGCCTCTGTACTGGTTTGCAGAAGGCTATGAGCTTGTTCCAGTGGCATTCACAGTGGACCTCATCAGACAGGCTGTCTTTCTGCACGTGGCCTTTAAAGGGGTGGGCAGAAGGGATCTCCTGGGTTGCCTGATCAAATCTGTGGAGTCTCCACCCATTCTGGACTACTTGTATTTTCTTGGCTCTTGGAACGATCTGATCTTCTCCCCTGCAGGGAGTTAGGGTGTTGACAACACCAAGGGGTGATAGATGACATGTCATTTGTGGAAGCAGATGTCTGGGCTGAGGCGTGCAGGTAAGTCCAGAGAGTGACCATCTCAGTACAGGGAAACAGAGATAGGGCCTGGAGAAGTCATGGAATGTGAAGAGTGCTTTAATGACCTCGCTTGTTCTTCCCTCAGGTGGCCCTGGAGATGCTTTTCACTGGGGAGCCCATTTCTGCTCAGGAGGCCGTACGCCACGGCCTCATCAGCAAAGTGGTGGCAGAGGAGCAGCTGGAGGAAGAGACCATGAGAATAGCCAAGAAGATCGCCTCTTTGAGCCGCCCCGTGGTGGCGCTGGGCAAGGCCACCTTTTACAAACAGCTGCCCCAAGACCTTAGAACGGCATATTACCTTGCCTCCCAGGCCATGGTGGACAACCTAGCCCTGCAGGACGGACAGGAAGGAATCGAGGCCTTCATCCAGAAGAGAAAGCCCGTCTGGTCATACTGAGCCAGCATGAGGCGTGCAGCCAACAGTCAATGCTGAAAGTCCTCGCCTTTTCAATCCAATCACTCTCAGTTGTAAGAGATGTCAGCCAGTCTTCCTAACTCTGATGTTGGTTTCCCAGTGTGTGCTCTATGTGATTAAAAGCCACGATTCTGTGGGGAATGAATATGGGGGGGGGGGGGTAAATGAAGTGTTAGGTCAGAGCCTGCAGCACCTGAAATGAGGTGACAATCGAGAGAGGCATGAAGGAAGGATACCACCCCCCCTCTTCGGTACTTTCCTTAAGGTTGCTCATGACAAGCTGAACATTTCAAATCTCCACGAGATCATCTCCACACTGAAAATCTTGATTCTATCAGGAAATAATCATGCCTGTGGCTTTGGAAAACTCCTATGTGATCTGAATAAATTAAATATTTATAGGGTTGGGTCGGTCATTTCTAAGCCACTGCAAGCTGAGAAAGAGGAGTAACATCGTCTTTGTGTGTTGGCTCTGAGGGGCATGGAGCAAGGACCACGTGCCTTTAACCAACATCCTTGCCCCCGTCACTTTAAACCAATGGGTAAAATCAGTCGGAGCAGCGAGAGGACCCAGAGCAGGTCCTGCCCACTGAGTCACTTTCTCCATACACAGCTCTGAACCACACTCCGCATCTGGTAAAACACTCAGACTGACAACAGTCACTGAGCTCTCCGGTCGAACCAATGTTTAGGCCTAGTCATATGTTTCCGCTTCTGGTCTAATGCAGCCCAAGAAGTGATCAAAATTTCCTTATCTGTAAACTTGATCATGAATCAATACCTATCTGTCTGTCTCCTCTCTCTCCTTCCCCTCCTTCCTTCTTCCTACTGCTAGGGATTGAACTCAGAGCCTTGGGTACACTAAGCAAGTCCTCTGCCACTGAGCCACACCCGAGTCCTGATTTGTTACTGTTGTTGTCAATTTTAGTCACCTAAGAGTAGACTAGAACCAAGCACACTGGCATATTCCTGTAATCACATCAACTCGGTAACCTGAGGCAGGAGGATCACACGTTCAAGGCCAGACTGCATAATTTAGCAAGACACTGTCTCAAAACAAAAAATTCAAAAGGCAAAGAAGTAGCTTGGTGTTCACTAGTGTAGCATGGATTAGGTCTGGGGTTTTTATCCCCAGCACCAGAGAGGGAGGGAGGGGGAGGGAGAGAGACACAGAAAGACAGACACAGACAGAGACTGACTGACTTGTATAGTTCTAACCTGTGGTTTCTATCTAGTTGCTGGGGTAGAAGTGGCTTGTGGTATGGATGTCCCCAGATACCATTGTTACAGACCTCCCTTGGGATATGTAGTTGTTCCCTTCTCTAGGTTTTATATGCCAGAAAAACAGTTTGTTGTAAAAGTGCCCCATGAGCAGAAAACCAGCTGAGCGGCCATCCCCTGCAGACCCCAAATGTGCCAAAAGTGGCTCTGCCCGCTCCCACCGCCCTCAGTAGGCCTGGGGAGCATACTGGTCGCAATGATCCCCATCTCAAGGGAGTCTGTGAGGCCGGGTGTCACCTTTGTCCAAGGACAAACGGTGGGCCTGGAGTCTGAGGATTCCAACATGTCTGCTTGCTAAAGCCATTGTTTCCAGTCCCCTGGCTGCACTGTCCTGTGGGAAATGTTCCAGATCATTAGACCATAATCCAGAAAGGAAAATGTTTAGTTCCCAATGCACACACTTGCTCTCTCGGGGAGCTCAGTTGTGTGATGCTAGTCTGAATTGGTTCCCGGAGGCTGAGCACAGTTTGGAACTGTTTCTTCAGGAAGTTGCCCTGATTGGGCGGGATACACACTATGTTCCTCTCTCACTGTCCCCAGAGATGGTCTGAGCCTGACCTGAACTCAAGGACAAACGGCTGTCCTGTTCTGCAACACTGTCTCCATGCAAGAGAGTGGAAGACATGCTCCTATCTTAGGGACTTTGCCAGCTCACAAGAGACACTGGGTCTGTTAACTGGCAGGGCACTGGTGGGGATTTTACTACTAGGCAATGGACGGTGGGCTCACATTTCTTTTTTTTTTTTTTCTTTATTCTTTTTGGTTTTTTTCGAGACAGGGTTTCTCTGTGGCTTGGAGGCTGTGGGCTCACATTTCTAATCTAAGGACTGGCTACGGCGGTTAGTCTAAAAGAAATGGACCCCCACTGTCTGCTCCTCTTTGGTGCCCCCACTGAGAAAATTACTGCCTGGCGGGTGCTGGACCACACTGATGGGAAAGAGGGTGGTAGACACTATGCAGACATTTGACAAATGAAAAGGAAATGCTGTTTCCATATGAGCAAACACTGCTCCGTCAAATCACAAACTCCTCAGGCATCTAGGCTGGCTCCCCAGCCTATGAGCTGATGTGCAATTGATGACTAGTTATAAATATCAGTAGTCACTGGGGCAGAAAACAATCCAGGAAGAAATGTGCCACACACCCTCAGCATCAGATAATCTATCCCAAGGCTAACATCGTTCTCAGTTTATTTGTATCTGTTCCCTTTTACCAGGATGTCAATGAAAACTTCCTGCTAGCCACACATGGTGACTTTGAAAAGTCTATTATACTCATCTTTCCCTCGGCACCATTTACCTCTGGGGAGCTTAGCTGAGCTGAGCCTAGCAGGCCACACCCTAGCAGTCAGTGCCAATCAAGTTGGTAGAATGGAAATTCACTTCTGCCAGCCCCAAGTAAGGCACGGGTCAAAGGTTGGCTTGGCCCCTGGAAAATAGAAACAGGCAAATGACAGAACATCGGAGACTTCAGGAGAGCCCAAAGCCATCCCAGGCAGCCCTAGAATTAAAAATCAGAATTCTCAGCGTCACACTAGGCCAACAGAGGGGAACATTCTGGTTTCTGTTGCTCTAAAAACATTCCTTACAGGATTTCCAGATGATTCTGCCATACACTAACTTTGTGACTACCTGCACTGGTGGTGTAAGCAACAAGTCAAGTCCTCCCAACAGGGTTCAGCAAGATGTCTTAGCAAATAGGGCACTTGCCCCCTGTTGTGGTTTGAATAAAAATGGCTTCCATGGGCACTATTAGGTGTGGCCTTGCTATCTCTCCAGCTCCATGTCCACCTACATACCATCATGCTTCCCACCAAGACCACTGTTGACAGAGTTTCTGCCCCACCTGGTCCCACAGCCATTTAGGCCCAAATAAACACACAGAGGTTTATATTAATTGTAAACTGCTTGGCCAGTGGCTTAGGCTTCTTATTGACTAGCTCTCTCTTAATTATTAACCTATTTCTATTTCATCTATATATTTCCATGGGGTCTTGGCTTACTGGAGAATGCACTGAGTCCTATCTTTCAGGTAGCTACATGGCAGCAACTTCCTGGTGGCTCTCTCTCTGCCTTTCTCTTCCCAGCATTCTCCTTGTCTGGTAAATCCACCTATACTTCCTGCATGGCTACTGGCCCATCAGCGTTTTATTAAACCAATAAGAGAAACTATATTCACAGCACACAGGCAGGACATCCCCCAACAGTCAATAATGGACTAAGCCTCTGAACTGCACGCAACCTGCAATTGTGTTTTCTTTTACAAGAGTGACTGTGGTCATGGTGCCTCTTCACAGGTATAACCCTAACCTGGTAACCCTAGCTTGATCCCCAGGACACACATGGTAGAAAGAGAGAGCAGATCCCCAAGTTGTCCTCTGACCTCCACACACACTCCATAGTGTGCGTGTGTTTGTGTGTTCATGTTCTCTCTCTCTCACACACACACACAAATAAGCAAGTAAATAAACAAGTAAATATAAAGTTGAAGTAATGTACTATGCATAATGAAATCATGGGCAATTGCGATTGGTCTGGAAGGAATGAAGAAAAACCTAAGGGAGCCCAGAATCCTCTTAAAATCCTCATACAGGCCCCAGGTGTTGCTGCCTTTGGATGACCAATCCATTAAACATCAGAATATACTCACTGCTATATTTCATTTCTTTTATTTAGGAGAAAGCATTAAACAATTTGATATTTAAATTTGTCTTAATTAAAGGTCATGATTTCTTGGCAAACAAGTATAATGATGTGTTAAACTCTGCTATTGAAGTTGATATATATTTTGTCAACATTTAAGAAAATGACAAATTTTCATCTTGCAAAGATTTTTCTTTCATCATTAAAGTTATTTTTCCTTTTCTATGTGTAATATATGTGGTGTGTATGTGTGTGTACACGTGTGTACATGGGCATGGAACTGTCCACTTGTGTTTTGCGGACAGACCTAAGCTTTGCCAGTTGAAGAGAGTGGCTAGCCAGCAAGCTCGCCCTTTGGCTTGCCTCAGCCTTCCCAGTCTAAACACTATGGTTATAAACATGTTCCACCATGCCTGGCTTTTTACATGGGTTGTGGGGAATCAAACTTAGGTTATTATTCTTACGCAGGAAGAACTTTGCTAACCCAGCCATTTCCTCCAGTCCTCAAAGTTTATTTTTTGAAAATGCCCCACAGACATGCCCACAAGACAATCTGATGGAGACAATTCCTCAAATGAGGTTCCCTCTTCCCGGATATGTCAAGATAACAAGCAATAGTAGATACAGGGAAATGACTTTTTTCTCATGTCCCAGATGACAGTTCATGAAAAGCTGGTAGACCATCTGGGCTGTGTGTACTGTGTCTCTTGGATGGAATGTCAGCCCATTCTGGCTGCACAGTGAATTGTTATTCGTGACAATGCCTTAGCGCAGCACAGACCTTCAGAGTCATTTGCTATATGTTAAACGTTGCCAGTGTATAGTTTCTCTTAGTCCACAAGGCAATCCAGATGGATTTCCTGCAGTGTTCAGTTCCGAATCAGTTTTAGAGAATAAAGCATGAATTAAATTGCTGTTTTCCTTTTCAAGCCAGGGAAGTCGGTTGGTATTTCTCTTTAAATGGAAATTGACATGTGAGGATGGCACCACTCCACTTGGGTAAAACCAGACTTAGAGAGTTTGGGCTTGTTTTGGTAAAGCAGAACTAATGCGCATTTTAGTCTCTAAACACTCAGCTTCTAATGGTATAACGATCTTCAGAGAGAAATAAGAAAATGGGAGCAGGGCGGTGGTGGTGCACGCCTTTAATCCCAGCACTCGGGAGGCAGAGGCAGGCGGATCTCTGTGAGTTGAGGCCAGGCTGGACCAACAGCCTCCAAAACAATAGAGAGAAACCCTGTCTCGTTAAAAAAAGAAAGAAAGAAAGAAAGAAAGAAAGAAAGAAAGAAAGAAAGAAAGAAAGAAAGAAAAAAGGAAGGAAGGAAGGAAGGGTTGAGATAGCTAAGATTTCTTCTTGCATTTATGTAAACCTTGAACCTGAATGACGACGATGTTCTCTGCATCGTCATCTCACAGAGATTTCTGTGTTAGCCGGGAGACTAGGGAGATAGCTCATTTGGCAAAGCACAAGTTAAACA